ATGATGATTGAAGGTTAAAGTTTTTGGACAGATTGACAGATTTCCAGACATCCAGTCACGGACAGACGAATGAGATTTAATGTCCCCTCGATTTCCCGGAGGGGAGGTCTTACCATAAGAATACATATTATGTGAAATATGATAACCCTTGTTGCAACCATTTAGAAATTATGGTCAAGCCTAAAAATTTTTCAAAAGTAGGTCAAACTCCAAGGTCAATGTAAAAGATAACTTAGAAATATGTCCATAGGACATGAATGCCCCGCCGAGGATATATTAGTAAAGCAACATGAAAATTTGTATGTGTATAAAATTTGATCAGAATATCTTGAATAGTGATGCAGCTGAATTGCTTGTTTGGAAAATATAGGTCAGATCTAGCATCTGAAGCAAGTCTGGTAGTGTCCATCCCTAGGTGCATCATCCATGCAAGTTTGGTTCAGGTAGGCTTATAGTTACTTGGGAATGAAAATATAGGTCTTATCCAGCATCCGAAGCATGTCTGGTAGTGTCCATCCCTAGATGCATCATCCATGCAAGTTTGGTTCAGGCAGGGCTTATAGTTACTAGGGAATAAAAATGTAGATCAGATCCAGCATACTAAGCAACTCTGGTAGTGTCCATCCCTAGATGCATCATCCATGCAAGTTTGGTTCAGGCAGGGCTTACAGTTGCTAGGGAATAAAAATGTAGGTCAGATCCAGCATCCGAAGCAACTCTGGTAGTGTCCATCCCTAGATGCATCATCCATGCAAGTTTGGTTCAGGCAGGGCTTACAGTTACTAGAGAATAAAAATGTAGGTCAGATCCAGCATCCGAAGCAACTCTGGTAGTGTCCATCCCTAGATGCATCATCCATGCAAGTTTGGTTCAGGCAGGGCTTATAGTTACTAGGGAATAAATATGCACGTTCAGATCCAGCATCCAAAGCAAGTCTGTTAGTGTCCATCCCTAGATGCATCATCCATGCAAGTTTGGTTCAGGCAGGGCTTATAGTTACTAGGGAATGAAAATATAGGTCTTATTAGGGGTGGGACGATACACAGATCTTGCGATATGATACGTATCTCGATATATTGGCACGATACGATACGTATCTCGATATTTTGATATATTATAAAACTATTTTAAAAAATTAGTATTTTTTTTCATTTCTTGTCTTGTCATTAAATCAACATGATAAATTATAAAACTATTCAAAAGAATTAGTACTTTATTTCATTTTTTGCCTTGACATTAAATCTACAAATTATTCTATATCAAATGATGTGTGCTTTGAAATTAATACTTGAAGTTCATCAATATCATTCACTAAAATTTTACAAAAACAAAAATACATGTACATATTATTACCAAATTACTTTTAAGAAGTTGTTTACAAATAGAACTTGTGTAGTTCAGCAGAGAACACTGACTAAAATTTATTTAAAAACATCACATTTACGTTTTTATTTAAATTGCTGAAAGTCTGTAGCAAAGCTGAGATTACAAAAAAAAAATACGAGATGGACTAACAATTAATAATGTCAAATGCTCTGGAAACGATGCTTTCTGTGTAAAGCACGCATTACATACTGTCCAAATTCTTCCGAGGCTGTTTAAAAGTGAAAACATTTTACCCCTAAACAACGACTTATTAGTTCTAAAGTGTGTTTTCAATAATCAACATCATCTCTTCGTGTACACGCCGCCATTTTCCAAGGACATGTACTTTCATTTTCAATTTTTGGATAGGTCGTTCGTGTATCGTTTCGTACCGATATTTGAATGCTTGTATCGTAAACCGTATCTTAGAGAAAAATATCGATATGTATCGGTGTATCGGTATATCGTCCCACCCCTAGGTCTTATCCAGCATCCGAAGCAAGTCTGGTAGTGTCCATCCCTAGATGCATCATCCATGCAAGTTTGGTTCAGGCAGGGCTTATAGTTACATGGGAATGAAAATATAGGTCAGATCCAGCATCCGAAGCAAGTCTGGTAGTGTCCATCCCTAGATGCATCATCCATGCAAGTTTGCTTCAGGCAGGGCTTACAGTTACTTGGGAATGAAAATATAGGTCAGCTCCAGCATCCGAAGCAAGTTTGGGAGTGTCCATCCCTAGATGCATCATCCATGCAAGTTTGGTTCAGGTAGGGCTTATAGTTACTTGGGAATGAAAATGTAGATCCAGCATCCGAAGCAAGTCTAGAAGTGTCCATCTCTAGATGCATCATCCATGCAAGTTTGGTCCAAGTAGGGCTTATAGTTCCTTAGGAATGGACCTGCTCCAAAAACTTTAACCTGGTCACTCATCTGGAAAATGTAGGTCAGATCCAGCATCTTCAGCAAGTCTGGTAGTGTTCATCCCTAGATGCATCATCCGTGCAAGTTTGGTTTGGGTAGGGCTTATAGTTCCTTGGAAATGGACCTACTCCAAAAATTTATCCTGGTCACTCACCTGGAACATGTAGGTCAGATCCAGCATCCGAAGCAAGTCTGGTAGTGTCCATCCTTAGATGCATCATTCATGCAAGTTTGGTCCAAGTAGGGCTTAAAATTCCTTAGGAATGGACCTGCTCCAAAACTTTAACCTGGTCACTCATCTGCAAAATGTATGTCAGATCCAGCAACCGAAGCAAGTCTGGTGGTGATCATCCCGAGATGCATCATCCGTGCAAGTTTGTATCAACATGTGAAGTTTGATAACACCATCTTGAATGGTATGTTTAAAACTGAGCTAAACACTAATTTAAGAAAAGTAAGGTCAAGGTCAAAGGAAAGGTCAAGGTCAAAACATGTTGATGCAGTTGCATAGCTCTCATCAATATCTATCAGCATATGAAGTTTGATGAAAATATCTTGGATAGTTTCTTTGAAACTTAGCTTTGAACAGAGCTAAATGCAAAGTGTGACCGAAGGACGGAAGGACAGAAGGATGGAAGACGGACATGACAAACACTATATGCCCCGGCCATATTCATGGCGGGGCATAAAAATTGTTGGTACACAAGTGAAGGTCTGGCACAAGAAATAAAATATGAAATTCAAATATATAAAATAGAAAGTCAGGTAATTAGCTTCAAGCATTCAATACCTATGACAAAGGATGAATTAAGTTAAACACCAAGGTTAAGGTCAAATGTCAAAAATATTTGATCCAAAGGAAACGTCTAATCACAAGAAAAATACCACGTTACATAATTATGAACTTTTGGAGAATGAGTGTTTTAAAAGTATAATACTTAGATTATCTATAAAGCAAATTATTGAAGAAAAATAAAGTGCCGCGCCACAGCATGATACGCCCGTCAAAAAATTACACAATTTTCTTGAACAGTTTAGGTGCAAGAAAATCACATCAACCTTCATTCTAAGATTTTGATGATTTTTCCATTCCTTAAAATATTTATCCATCCCCTGTGATGTAGGCATCAATTATAATAAATATTACATCACCGATAGATTTCTGTGCTGGTTGTGTTAGACCTTGTCAAATGCCCATCATCAAATTAGTCTTAACAACTTAATCTATACCAAATTAATTTTGAAAAGAAAAGGCTGGCCATCAATGACCAACAGTTCCTCTGTCTAATCCCCAAAGGGTACAGCTTAATCAGAGCGACTGAGACAAGCTAGCCTTCCAACATTAAACTCATTAATTAATCTTTAACTGAATGCTTGTCTACTCTTTACTACCAAGAGATGAATGGGTCTGCACTATCTACTATAATTTTTTTTTTTTAAATTTACATATAAAATACTCAAAGATTTTTTTTTTTTGGTTGAGATTTAATGTCCGACAGGTTTTAATATGTAATTCATATGGACATGCTGATTCCATCCCACCCCATAAAATTAGTTTTTAAATTAATAATATTACATAATATCAGATCAGTCTATTATGCAAATCAAATTAGTTTTAATTACTTTTCATCAAATTCATTTTAAAACTTAAGTTAGTCAACAAGAGCTATTTGTAATCAAACAGGCTTACCCATTTGCCCAATACTCAAGGGATATAGATAACAGCAATGCTCTGTCAGTTGGCTCCTCGCACTCAAAACCCATTAATTTCTCTCTAATTTGACATGCAATTTTCTGTTATCAAAATTCTTCTTGACCAGTGCTTGATAATTACACTCATGGGAGAGGCAGGATTTCTCTGACATACATTATATTTGTTATAGATTGCTGTCAAGTATATGCTTAGAAAAAATAAGTATTTCTTGATTTAACGCTTTTTTTAATAAGAACAGTGCAAGACTCTTACATTATTTGGGATGTGTAAATGAATAGTAAAAAGACACATTTTTTTTTAAAAAATCACTTAAATTAAAGGTCACAGTGACCTTGAAATAGGTCGCGACACACCTTCTACCTAAGATGCATAAACTGGCCAAGTTTGATGATTGTAGGTCTTATGGTTTTCTAGTTATGGGCCGGAAAGGATTTTTCCATATTTGGCTATAACTTCTTAATTAAAGGTCAGAGCGACCTACTTTTTGCGCGCGACACACCTTCTACCCAAGATGCATCAGATGACAAAGTTTGATAATCCTAGGCCTAGTAGTATTAAAGTTATGAGCCGGAAACGAAAAAGCTAACAGACAGACGGACAGACGGACAGACGGACAGACGGACGGACACGAAGCCTATAACATAATACGTCCCGTCTTAAGACGGGCGTATAAAAAGATCTCATTCATGAGGTCAATTTTTGTGAGTGTAGTTTATATGCTGGTGGATTCATGCTTTAGCAACTCAATGAAAGGACATACATTTTGTTGACAAATCAGACATTCCTTTATTAACATTTCCTGATAATCTTAAAATCAGTTTAAAGTTATACTTTAAATTCTATTCAAATTCTATTTAAATTAACAACATATTACTTTCTCTTTTTCAGTACATACATATTCCAAGAATTTCAACAAATTACATTTTCTATACCTTATATCAACTACATGTACAATTTTTCATTACCAGACTTCCCTTGATAACAAAGCCTTATATGTACCTTGAATGTAGCTCCATGATGATAGTACTTAGGACTAAATCCATACGGAGATAATGCACAAGTCTTCATCATCTGATGTACTTTGGAAGGAACAAGTCGAGTCCAGTCCTGAGTAATATGTCATATAATGTCATAATAAACAGCCATATCAACCAATCAATATCAACATTTATTTATCCTCAGCCTCCATCAGAGTTCATTCCAGATGCATTATCCCCAATAATCGGCCCCTCATTACAAACAAATTGCTCAATATTATATTGCACTCAAAAAGGGATTAATTCTCCTAATCTCCTGCTAAAACGATGGATCTGAATGCACTCACAATAGAGAGGAGAAGTCTGCCTCTTTATGTGCAGAAAAAGGACACAGACAAGGCCTGGCTGTATGGTCACCAACATTCAAATTGATCATCCGACAAATTAAAATGAGTTCATAATAACAAAAACAAGCTCTTCCACATTATTCTTACAGGCAACTTACGCAGACATTACAAAGCGATGCACCTAACAATTTTTCAAACTGGAAATCTTATCAATTTCACACTTGGAGAATTTGGTCCTGTGATGTAGAACTATGAAAACTCTAATCCTGCTGGTCATAGCTGAGTTTTAATGAGTGTCCCCTCTAAAGGAATAATTGTATTGGGGGCGCGTGCTGGGTATTAAGTCTCTTATTGTCAACAAATTTCAATGATCTGTTCAGGGACTGGTTGGCTACACTGAGCCCTGTGAGCCTAGGAGCAGATGTACGGATAAATCAGGGAATCAGAGAGAGCACCTGCCATGATTCAGGCCACAATATTGAGTTTTATTTTTTCAACAGATAAAGCTGAAATTGTATTGCAAATATAACAGAATCTGCAATGATCTGCCATAAATAATATATTGATTCCCATCAAAGCAACTTCATGAATTGTTCATGGAGTCATGATCGTTACAGTAGCAAGAGAACAATGTCACTGGATTCAATTCAATTTAGATTTAGATGACAGAAAATGATGCTTATTCTTTTTCAGTAATAACTACAATAATGAACTCATACAAAAGAAATGAAATCTCAGTTGTCATCTGATCATTTATTATGTAGAAATTTGCAAAGTCCCTTTGACCCAAAAAGCCTCTCTGGAGTAAAGTACTTTTACTTAATTGAATTCAAATATTTGCATGAAAATAATTAAGTACCTGCATTAATATGTCTACAACAATGATACACTGTAAATTCTGTCTCCAAACATTTCATTGATTATAAATAGCAGTCTACATAGAGGTACTTATTTCTGTAGAAATTTATATTTCTGGAATGGGGCATTATCGTGCAAAGCACTAAAGGTAAAAAAAACTCATAAAATTCTATTTCTAAAATCATCATATACATCTATACTTTAAATAATTATTACAGTTTTCTATCTATACATCTATGCTTTAAATAATTATTACAGTTTTCTTTACGTTTTTCTGATCTTGCTTTAATGGGTTGAAGGAAGAAGAGGCAAGGAAGGGGAGATTAAAGATGTGAGAAAAGTGTCTGAATATCCAACAACAGTAAGAATTGACAAAGGAACAGAAGATATATAGGGGGAAACAGTAGGACTTAACCAAAAATCAAAAAAGAATTGGAGGAACAAAATTAGAAGGACTTTAAGCAAAAAGACATGTAAAGAATTAGAGAAGAATCAGGAGAGGGGGAAACAAAAACAGTAGGAATTGATCACGGATAAGAGGGGTACTGAGGGAACAAAAACAGTAAGAATTGACATGGGATTTGAGGAGAACTGGGGGAACAAAAATAGTGAGTATTGCGAAGTATAAGAGGGGCATTGGGGGAAGATAAACAGTAGGAATTGACAAAGAATAAGAGGAAAATCAGGGGGACAGAAACAGCAGGAATATGACATTGAATTTGAAGAGAATTCGGGAACAAAAACAGTAAGAATTGACAAAGACTTTGAGGAGAATTGGGGAACAAAAACAATAGGAATTGACACAGGCATAGAGGAGAATAGAGGAAGCATAAACAATAGAATGGAATAAAAAATTGGGGGAAAATCTGGGGAACAATCAACAGTATGAATTAACAAAAAATAGAGGAAAATTGAGGGGACATACTACAGAAATACATAACAAAGAGGAAAATGGAGGGGGACAATAGGACTTAGCAAAGAATTAGAAGAAATGGGGGAACAAATCTCAGTAATTCTATAACCACTATAAATCTGTGAAGAGGGCTTCATGCACCATTCCTAAGGTGGGACCAGGTGCCCCAGAGGAGGAAGCATCCTCTGATAACTGGTCAACCCTGTAGTGAGCCCTGCAGGTTTGATAAGGTTATAGACATAGTCGAATTCAGCATAAAAACAAAGACCTAATAACAATTGAAACAAGTCAACCAAAACACAACCTGTTTTGCATGCATCCATATTTCTGAAGTTTAAAGAAATATTTGATATACATGTACTGAGTATTTATCTACAGTAATCTGATTAATGAAAATGAACTTCACTTTGGGTGTGAATATTGCACTCTAAAATGCCAAACCTTTAAAATATACATACAGATCAAGATCAAATTTAAACAGTTTAGACAGCTAGCATTAATTACACATCAAAGTTCATTGAACAATCAGTATTTGATTTTCTGTCATTAAGAATTCTCAGTAGATAAAGTTTTTTTAACAGAGTATATCAAAAAGCTTTTTTTCTGTCAATGAAGTACACAATTCTATTGGGGCTGTTTGATAACTTAGTCACACCCATCCTTTTTTATGGGTGCGAGATAGAAAATTATGAAAATATACTTGTTATTGTTCATTTAAAATTTTTTTTAAAACTTTAATCAATTCAAAAAGCTCAACCCCAATAAGATAATTTATGGAGAATTTAAGGCATTTAATATATACTGTATACCCTGAAAATCGTTTTGTTTAACTGGGTGATTTTCAGTATATAAATATCGATGTTTTTAAAGGAATGAATGATGATTGTTTCTTCAAAGATGAATATTAAATCAAAAATCTCTGTAGACTAGAACTGTTACAAGGGTATAAAAATTTCTTTGTCCAGTTGAATTGTTTTCTATCTACTTCATGACCATAGATTAAAGACTTAGTTAAAAATAACTGTTCATTAATTTGATATTATATGTTAAGAGTATAACAATTAATCTACATTTCTTTTAATTATCAATTTATTTCTCTACTTGTCTGTTTTTTACTTATATAAGAAAAATTTTTTTAATTGCATCTATAAAAAAAAATATGTCTATTTACACAATAAATCATAGAAAAATGGGGATGATGTGACTTTCTGCATTTCTAACTCTAATCTTCATTAGTTAATGAGGCTTTTATATAAGTAATTTTAATTAAAACAGTGTTTTTGGGGTTGAAAAGTATCTCCCTCACAATGGACATTTTGTTTAGTGTGGATTCTAAATCAGTCTGTCCGGCCAAATTTAAAGTCATGTAATGGTTTATGAAATAATTATCAAGAGACAATAAGACTTCCATAGCAGCCCTAGACAATAAGACTTCCATAGCAGTCTTAGTGGCACTCACAACCTTGTTTGACCCTTACTGTGCAAGAGGTAAAAGGTTAAATATCAGAGCTAGTCACAAAATTTCAAATAAAGAGTTTTAAATTATTATATTTTTTTAATTAAAAAAAATATATATTTTTCTATGAATAAAAAAAATTGACTACTATATTAAGTATATCTTGAGTTTTCTTTGATATTTAATGATTGGATGGAAACTTTTCTTCCTCAGGGGTCAACAGGGGTCAGGGAGGTTGTCTAATATGTTGACAGCTCTGTCCGTATGATGGATCATAATAAGAGAAGGCCAGTAATTCATGTTGGTAGTGTCCCACAACTGTCCAGTGTGACACCTAGAATGATGGATCCTCTGACAGTATCAACCAGAGACCAGCTTTATGGGCGCATGTTCCTGTGTATTGCATAACTTGTTTTAACATGAATCAGAGCACCTCCTCCTTAAAATAACTACAGATAATAGTTTCAGATTTTATAACTTTCTCTCCTGTAATATTTATAAGATGTGTATGAAAATTTGTAAGTATTGACGTAGCCCGCAGATAATAGTTTTCATAATATCATAATAACGTCAAGATTTCATAATTTAACTATTATTCAAAAATATAGGCTCTATTTGACAGCAATTTTAATTTTATGAACCATATCACAGCATTTGAGCCATCATTATTTCCAGATTAAGGGTATTAATAAACCAGCAGTAAAATCATTGGACAGTGTGTCTCCAAATCTGTCACGTTTGTGGTATGATGCAGTGCCATGCAATACACAGTATTATAAAATTAGCCCCCCTGGCTACAAAATTACATCAACTTATAAATATAACAAAGAAAGTTGTGTAAGAATGACCATACACCACCTAAAGTCAGTAGGTCAATAAAGGTCATGACCCTGCATAATCATCATAATAAAAGGTCACTTAATTTTCTTACAGAAAGATCAAAGGATGACCTGAGAAACAAAAATATTTCAGATCAAAGTGGAGAGGAAGGAGCTGACACATGTTTGATAAAGATCAATGAAGTTTCGGATATTTTAAGTATGGCAAAAAATTTCTTATATCAACTGATGTCTTTATAATATTTTTTTTATGACAGTGATTGCACACTATATTGGGAATTTATCAACCTTTCATTAAAACTGGAACTGCAAAGGCTAAACTTTGATGACATCAAACAGTGCATAATAGCACTGATAACCCAGTTTTGAACAACTTTCTTCAATTATTGATCTTTCAACAATACCTATATGAATAACCAATCAAAATGCAACATGTATTTTTTTAAAAATAAATTCTGAATATACATTCCGAACTGTATTACAATATATTTATTCTGGCTGCTTTGCATATTTAAACCATTTAAATTTGTGAAAAATTTGAGGAATAAGGAAAACATATGATTGCCTTTCAAAACCATAGGTGAAGATAATAAAGCTATTCTTTCAATATCTGAGGAAAAATTGCAGATTTAATAACTGATAATTTACAATTTCTTTTTGATCAAAGTTATCTGGCTGAAGTTCCATTTTAGCCAGTAACTAGAGGGTATGTATTAGCCATGTAAAACGGCCAATGCATGAGGAAGGACTCTCATAAATTATTGTCTCTTAATCCTCTACTATAAATACATTTTTATAGTTATCTTGTGGGTGTTAATCTTTTGTCACATTACAGTGTATACATTGTGTTCCTATAGAATGGACTGCTAACCACAATCAGAGTTCATTAGAGTCACATGTTAATGCCGATAATCAATGACATTTCTACCTCTGTCCTCTTGTCTTCACCTAACAGGTCTCACTGTCTTATGTAAATCTCCGATCAATCACTCTGTGTGA